TAGGAGGGAGGGGGGGAGGGATCAGCTAGCCCTATCCCACATCCCTAGTTCAGTATGAGTGTTCAATGAGCACAGCTAAGACTGTGTTCCGACTGGGTTACTCTGTGTTCCATCTGGATAATTTTGTGTTATACCAGTTAGAGGTGTTAAAACGGAACACACCTGCATTGAACACTGATTATTTTTGAGTGAAGGAACACAAATGAGAAGTTTTTTTGGGCAGAAAGTTAAAAAATGAATTGAAATAAATCTGATTAAAAATAAAAAACGATAAAATGGACCCCAGTGCTGCACAATTTAGGAAACTAAACTAAAATCATAAAACACGTTGCAATTTAGTAAATTGGGGATTTCGTGTTGCTCAAATTATATTTTAAATTAAAATTTGGGATTTGTAAAATTTGGATTTCAGACATTAAGAAAAGTTTCGACACCACCAATACTATTAAATCAATCACACAAAATTAAAAAGGAAAAAAACATAAAATTTTTTAAAGTCTTAAATTTTATTAAAATAATAAACTCAGTTTTGGAGAAATTATTGAGATAAAAGTTTACTTAAAAATTCTGTTAAAACACGTGATTTAAGACTTAGAAAAAAATAGTAGGTTGATAAAATTTGGTTTGTTTTGTTTAGTCTGTTTGGATGGCGGCATCCAGCAATGGGTATCCAAAGTATGGCGGGGGTTGGGATGGATCTTACACAAGCTGCTTATAGATATAATCATAATATGATGGAATACTATACATGTAAGGAAAATTGCAAGACTGGATCGACATTGAGATGTCGCAACGTTTTGGGCTTAGATTTTTACTCGCTTTTACTTTTTTGTAGCCTAGAAAAGATTGTATAATAATGTATATTACTTGCTTGAAATCATATCCCACACAAACTCCAGCATTCCCACCCTGCAGCTGGCTCTCCCTCCCCTCCACCCCTCCAAACTTTTTGTTAAAAATTGTCGTCCCCTTACACCCCCTCTGATTGCTGATTGGCTTGGTTGACAGTATTTTTGTGAAAATCAGCCAAAATAAAAAAATTTCCCTTGTTAAAAGAAATTCCTAAATCAAATAAATAACTTGGAAAGACCAGGTTTGTACATGTTTTGGAAAGGGCGAAAAGGGGAATAACAATTATATCCTAAAATGTTAGGAAATGATTCGCAATCAGAATTTATTACTACACTCTATATCTTATAAACTTGCATAAAATATTTCAACCAATTACTGGTATTACGACTTTGTGACCTCGTAGTTTCTATAGTTTGTATTTTACACACAAGTAAAGTAGAAAAGTTGATTTGTTAAGATTAGAAATCTAGAAATTTAAAGCATTTTTGTTCTTCTTAATAGCTTATTATTAAAAGAAATTATGATTAAAAACATTTAAGATTTTAATTTAAAATTTTATATTTACTTTTATTTGACATGTTTGAGTAAATCTTTAATCCGAGGTTGCGCTATTAATCGGAATTATATATTAAAATTAAAATCAAAATCAATATGAAAATAAAATAGTTTTGCAGATTTCTAGCAAATCGGCTCAGGTGTGAATACATCTTTTAACTGGAAAACATTGAAAACTAAACTTGAAAATTAAAAATCTTTTTTGAAATAATTAAGCACTTTTTGGGTTTATTTCGAAATACATTTTGAAATAGTAACTAAATATGAAAAATAATCGATGACTATAGGTTTTGATATCTGTATGATTTTTTGAAATCAAATTAAATATTTTAAGATACGAGTCGTATATTGCAACCTTCTGAATTTGTATGGACGCTACGTTCTTTAGTATAAGTCGTTTTTCACAATTTTTTCCTCAGAGACGCAACAAATAGAAGTAAGATTGGTAGAGATCAAAAGCGATTATTTTTCACCGTAAGCCTAAACCCCCTTTCATTTTCGCGAACACTCCCTTTAAAATCTCATCTGTTGTTGGTACTGGGTAACCTTGTATTATAAAGTTGTGCAAGACTAAGATATGAAACTCTATACAGAGATAGAGTCCCAAGGGTTCTATGGAAAAGGGGATTTTTACAAATAGATGAATAGATGAATAGATGAACAGATGGATAGATGAAAAGATATGTAGATCAAGAATTGTATCCAATAAGTGAATTAAACTAGACGTACTGATCCTTCTTTCAAAGTGTGGAATACCGATTCACAACCATATCTTTTAAACCTTTATCTGATCAATAATGTAGACGATATTGTTGTTTTTCTAGCTTGAAATTTCCTTCAGTGTTTAGCTTAAATCGAACGTCAATTTTCAAAGGGAAAACGTGAATATATTATTAATTTTTTATTTGAAAAGTTTTGAGGGTGCCACTGGGAATCTGTAATCCCACTGTATAAACTGTATAAATGGAGGATTACTTAATTACGTTTACAGTTCTATACAGATAATGTTTCATTTTCAGGTCATGGTGGAGTAAACCAACTTGGTGGTGTGTTTGTCAACGGTCGACCTCTACCTGATGTTGTTCGACAGAGGATTGTCGAGTTAGCCCACCAAGGAGTTCGACCCTGTGATATTAGTCGACAGCTCAGAGTCTCACATGGCTGTGTCTCTAAAATACTTTCAAGGTACAATCATCGTGCAGTTGGTTTCTATCAGATTTTATAAAATATTTGTAATGGATTATATTTCATCTTTGAAATTATAGGAAAATACGGTTTTATTTATCAGTTTATACAGTAGTAGATAAGTAAATTGCTGTCCTGTAGTCCTTTGCAGTCCATGGTACTCCTTTGTTGTCAACTTTAGTTTTTTGTAGTCAACTGTAATCCTTCGTAGTCAACTTTAATCCTTTGTAGTCAACTGTAGTCAACTGTAGTCCTTTGTTGTCAACTGTAGTCAACTGTAGTCCTTTGTTGTCAACTGTAGTCAACTGTAGTCCTTTGTAGTCAACTGTAGTCAACTGTAGTCCTTTGTTGTCAACTGTAGTCCTTTGTAGTCAACTGTAGTCCTTTGTTGTCAACTGTAGTCCTTTGTAGTCAACTTTAGTCCTTTGTAGTCAACTTCAGTCTTTTGTAGTCAACTTTAGTTTTTTGTAGTCAACCGTAGTCCTTTGTAGTCAACCGTAGTCCTTTGTAGTCAACTGTAATCCTTTGTAGTCAACTGTAGTACTTTGTATTCAACTGTAGTGCTTTGCAGTCAACTGTAGTCCTTTGTAATCAACTGTAGTGCTTTGTAGTCAACTGTAGTCCTTTGTAATCAACTGTAGTGCTTTGCAGTCAACTGTAGTCCTTTGTAATCAACTGTAGTGCTTTGCAGTCAACTTTAGTCCTTTCTAGTCAAATTTAGTCCTTTGTAGTCAACTTCAGTCCTTTGTAGTCAACTTCAGTCCTTTGTAGTCAACTTTAGTTGTTTGTAGTCAATTGTAGTCCTTTGTAGTCAATTATAGTCCTTTGTAGTCAACTGTAGTTCTTTGTAGTCAACCGTAGTCCTTTGTAGTCAACCATAGTCCTTTGTAGTCAACCGTAGTCCTTTGTAGTCGACTGCAGTCCTTTGTAGTCAACCGTAGTCCTTTGTAGTCAACCGTAGTCCTTTGTAGTCAACTTTAGTCCTTTGTAGTCAACTGTAGTCCTTTGTAGTCAACCGTAGTCCTTTGTGGTCAACTGCAGTCCTTTGAAGTAAACCGTAGTCCTTTGTAGTCGACTGTAGTCCTTTGTAGTCAACTGTAGTCCTTTGTAGTCAATCGTAGTCCTTCGCAGTCAACTGCAGTCCTTTGTAGTAAACTGTAGTCCTTTTTTAGTCAACTGTAGTCCTTTGTAATCCACTGAAGTTCAAATTTATTTTGTACTAAAATTTTTCCGAAATCCGTCAAGTTTAAAAAAAAGGAATTTACTTTCAATTAAGTGAAGTTTTTTTATTGTCTATTGAGAATTCCGAATCTACAGATTCTGTTGGAAGTTTCTTTTTATTTGAACCCTGATTTAAAATTATAATATTTTAATATTCTCCGGTCTGTTCCTCGTCCCTGCTCCAGGTACCCTGTACAGCAGGGGGGTCCGGGGACACCCTGGAGTTTATGATCAGATTTATGTCTAAACCTTGATGTATTTTATTATTAAACCTGTATATACATACACTGCAGTGCACCAGTGCGTAGATATATATACTCATCTTTCTAGACGTAAATTTACATCAAAGTGGGGCACGGGAAGGGGTTGAAGGGGGGTAAAAAGGGAAAAATGGTGATAAAGGTGACCTGATTTAAACCATTTTATAAAAGTCTCGAAATCTTAATAAGTTTCTTATTATTATATTAAGATTTTTGTGAAGTGTCATTTAAAAAGGTGGTTTTGCATTAAAATAAAGCCGTCTTTCTCACAGAGATCCAGACAAATTTAAAAGTTATGCATACATTTTAAGACCGGGTTAACTTTAGATTTTTGCCACGCCTTGTTCTACGATGGAACCACACCAGCTCTCATATACATTTGTAAATCTGCAGCACGATTATTTATAGCTTTAATTTAAAAATCACATCTGTTTGTCTGTTACAACTGTTTTTCTGTTACATCTTTTTGCCTCTTAAAACTGCTTGTCTGTTACATCTGTTTTTCTGATACATCCGTTTGTCTTTTATATCTATTTGTCTGTTACATCTGTTTGTCTGTTACATTTGTTTTTCTGTTACATCTGTTTGTCTGTTAAAATTAGTTGTCTGTAAAAACTGCTTGTCTGTTACATCTGGTTGTCTGTTAAATCTGTTTGTCTTTTACAACTACTTGTCTGTTACAAATGCTTGTCTTGTTACAACTGCTTGCCTGTTACAACTATGTGTCTTTTTTGGGTTTATTTCGAAATACNACAACTGCTTGCCTGTTACAACTATGTGTCTGTTACAACTGTTTGTCTGTTACAACTGTTTGTCTGTCACAACTGTTTGTCTGTTACAACTGTTTGTCTTGTACATCTGTGTGTCTGTTTCATCTGCTTGTCTGTTACAACTGCTTGTCTGTAACAACGGTTAGTCTGTTACAACTGTTTGTCCGTTACAACTGATTGTCTGTTACAACTGTTTGTCTGTTACAACTGTTTGTCTGTTACAACTGTTTTTCTGTTACAACTGTTTGTATGTCACAATTGTTTGTCTGTTACAACTGTTTGTCTGTCACAACTGTTTGTCTGTTACAACTGTGTGTCTGTTATAAATGTCTGGCAGCCGAAGATAAATATTCTAATATTCTCCTCACAATAAAATATTTGAATATTTAGAAATATCTATCTATCTATCTATCTAGGTACTATGAGACTGGAAACTATAAGGCGGGTGTGATCGGTGGGAGTAAACCCAAGGTTGCCACACCCCCCGTGGTTGACGCTATAGCGAAGTACAAGAAGGAGAACCCGACGATGTTTGCCTGGGAGATCAGGGATAGGTTGCTGACCGAGCAGGTGTGCAACCAGGAGAATGTACCCAGTGTTTCCAGCATCAATAGGTAAATATATCCTTTTTTTCTGTAACGAGAACAGTGTTATATTCTGACAATTTTTGCCATTGTTTCTGAAGAAAAAATATTAATACTAGGCTTTTAGGGCGCTTCGCGCCCACCTTTCATTTCAACTGTTAACATGTTCTCTTTGTGTATATTGTAAAACAAAACCAAAAACAAAAAATTGCTAATTTATAAAAAAATTTCGTGGATATTCAAAATTTTCAAAAATAGAATTTTGATTGAGGCAAATGATTGAAAATTGGATCATCCATAAACATTTCCCGGGGTCACGCAAGGTTTGGCCGTTTTGATGTTTATTTGATACAAACGGACAGACAGACAAGCATAGTATAGATAGAGATATTAAACCTACCAAAATTTTTAGATTTTACTGAATTTGTTTGGTAATTTTGCTAGATTTTGTTCATATCCAATTTTTACCAAAAAATAACGCAAATATTAGATATTGATCATTAATATAATAATAATGTTTCAGAATAGTCCGAAATAAAGCTGCAGAGAAAGCTAAAATATCTGGTTACGGGGGCGGCAGTCCTATTCCACCAGAAACTAGTTTAAGGTAGTTTTAAAAATTAAAGTACATTTCTCGTAAAATTGAAATTTTAAACATATTTCTTCATATCTTCATATTTTATTCAACTACAAAGCACGAGATAATACAAATAAAAAAATCACAATTTACTATGTAGTTTGGACCCGCCTAACCAGAGTAGGTTGTTTTAATTGGTTGGCCAACTATAAACGAATGAGAATTGCAGATAAAAACAATGTACATTGTACATTTTAAACATATTTATTTAAACATATTTAAAATTTTTGAAGAGCTCTCAAGAAGCCTAATTTTGAATTTCTAATATGTAACAAAATTAATTTGATTAAAATCAAGACTAATGGAGGTATGAGGCATCAAAGCCGTCCCAGTAATATAGCATATTTGTAAATATTATTTTTTAGGCATCCAGCGTACAGTATAAACGGAATACTTGGAATTCCTCAAACAGACGGAAATCATAATTTACATAAACGGAAACGAGATGATGAAGGTAACTTTATATTCATGGAAATAATTGTCGTCTTCCCTTTTTAAAAATAGTATTTCGCTTGATATGTATGTATAGTAGTTGCTGCAAAAGTGTTCTCACACATTCCTAGAGTTTAAAAGAACCTTTTAGATTAATATTGGTTGTTTTTTTATTATTAATATGTTAAATTGCAGGCCTAAGGCAGTTTTTCTATATCTTGATTAATAAATGCTAAAAAGATATTATTTTTTTTTATTGAAAAAATAATCAAAGAATAATTGAAAATATCAAGATAAATTAATAAAGAAAGAATAAATTAAATGAATACAATGAATAAAATGAATAAAATGAATAAGATGAATGAAATGAATGAAATGAATAAAATGAATAAAATGAATGAAATTAATAAAATAAATAAAATGAATAAAATTAATAAAATTAATAAAATGAATAAAATGAATAAAATGAATAAAATGAATGTTTAGATACTGAATCAGAGAAGAGTTTAATGGCGGAGGAATGTAAACGGTTCCGCCAACAATATGAAGGTCAATCCTACCCGGCGGTCTGGGCTGCCAAGTGGGGCGGAAACCCGCCGATTAAACAAGAAAAACCCGCCAACCACGCCATTGCAGAACTAGAACATACGCCAACTCCTCCTCTGACACAATCGCCGGCGGGCGGAACGGAATCGCCTTATCCTGGAGGATTTTTTGCCGGAGGCGGTGGGGCTTTGACATCTGAAACCTTGTATGAGACAATGAGCCAAAACTATCCTGCCCTAACCTCGTCACTAGGTATAGATTTTACATCTTATTTTCAACTTTTACAGGAGGAGGGGGGGGGGTAATAAATACGACCCTATTTATAAATTCTAAATGTATGAATATTATATCTGTTATTTTCCTGTTATTTAGTCTCCGACATGCCGGTGTCGAACATCAAAAGTCTAGAATAATTTACCCGACATCTTCTCCATCGGCACATACAACGTTACCCACAATTATAAGGATGAGACTGCAAAAACGACCTAAATCTGACAATTCCAAGGTCAAATTTAGTCTTCTGTCTTAAATGTAACATTTTTTTGGCTTATTAAATGATAAGGCAAAGACAGAAACAGGTTTACAGTTTAAACTTGCAGACAGTATGAATTCTATTCAGTCGTCTCTGAAGTCTCATCATTTGTGGGTATACCCTGTAAAGTTGGTTTACATGTTTCTGGGTTGGTTTTAAATAATTAAGTTACTTTAGAAAATAACAAAATTATATTGAAAGAAAAACTATTTACTTAAGGACGTAAATAGATTATTTTTATTTTTCCTGACAATTTGGTAAATTTCCATTTCTTTGAAAACGTTGAAAACTTTGTGTTTGTAAAATTGGATTTTTTTTATTTTCAGCATCCATGTTTCTGAAAGTCGTCTTTAATTTTGTTTATTTCAGCCGCCGGAGTGCAGAACGGAGTGAGCGGAAATACAGACTTTTATTCTTCTAATCCTTACACACAATATCCAACCTATCCTGGATACAATTATGCTCAACAGACAGGGATACAGAGTATCCAAAGTAAATAGAAATGGATTCGATACCAGTACATATTCTGTATCCAAAACAGCTTTCAATTTGTGACATTTACTTAATAATGAAAAATGCGCAAAAATGTCTCTAAAACTAGCTCAATACCAATTTCATAGGAGAGCAAAAATTTAGCTAGTTAAATATTTGACAATTAGCACCGATTTTTCATGTAAAAAGTGAATAAAAAAGTCCAAGATTTAAATTTACTTTCAACTCCGGATAAATAGTATTTTTCTTTTTCTTTTGTTACTTATTTAATATTGTTAGGACTTTAAAATTGTCGACAATTAAGGAATTAAAGGTATAATTTTTTTTGTAATGAGATTGTAAAAATTAATCGTGCCATAAAAAAAATTTATATTTAGTTTTGAATTTATGAAAATAGTATTTTAATTTTGTATTTTAACATGTTTGCATTCTTAATTCGTATTTAATTCACAAAATTTGTATAATTTATTTAACTAGTTTTTGGTTTAGTAGAAGCAAAATGTAAATTAACGTTTTGATTATTTTAGTAATATCTTAATAACCATTTAAATCTGTGATAATATTATATAAAATTGTAGACCAGCTTTTAATAATAGTGTAAAAATTGTGAAATATAGTATTAAAAAGTTGTGTGTTTATAATTTAAAGAGCCAGGCAATTTTAACTTTTTAATGTTACATTTTTTCCTTCAGTATTTTAGAATAAACAAGGAAATCACATAAGGAATTGAGTCTTTGGCACAAACTCTGATTTTTATTCCCTATATCTTTACAACCCAATGTCGTAGATCTTAGATATTTCAAACTATGACTTCTGTTATTAGATAATCTAAGTTTGTAATATTAAAGGTTTACATCATCTGGTTGTAGAGATATAGGTATTTGAAAATTGGGATTTGTGGCAAAGACTTAATTCCTATTTTATTTAAATTAGAATTTTAGCAATAAAGAATTCTTTTTGGAAGTGACATGGAAATGACATGGAAGTGACATCCTGATCGGTAATACACCTTCTCTGTGATGGGGTCATCTGAGAATCCGATTGGTTCAGCCGTTTTTTTGATTTGGCTCAAACTCAACCTCAGACTTTCCGAGCCTCAATATTATGAAAAAAAACATTAAAAAAATTTGTCTGTTTTTAATGGCGGTTTTATAAGATTTTAGAAAAAGCTAGATTATTTTGAGACATTTTCATGCCGCTTTAATGGTTAGGGTGATTAGAAGGTTTACAATGAATTTAAAAAGTACATAGGAAAAATGTTCAAAAAATTGTTGTTGTTTTTTGACTAACATTAAGATGTTACCCATGGACAAGGTCCTATACGTACACCGGTTTTTTAAAGGCTATTCAAATAAGTTTGAAAAGTGAAGAAGTTACAACGTGGAAACCGATTTTAAAGTATGGCTCTCTTCATGCTGCTATTACCCCTTGCTTAACTTCTCTTTCTTTTTTTCATTTTTAATGAGAGTTTACAGGAGAAAAAAGTTTATAATTATTTCATTCTTAATTTGTATATTATACTTTTATTTCTATCTGAGATTCTTTTGTCACACGATTTTGATAAAAAAAAAAAACATCCTTATCGGGAAAGGAATATTTGTGCTGGAAAAGCAGGAGGTGCCAGAAACTAGAGCCAATAAATTCTAAACTTATTCATTTTTCAAAGATAATATCTATAGGGCTTGGCAATGTTTCGATAACGAACATGAGTTTTTGAAAATTAGCAGAAAACCCCGATAATTTTTACATCGTTACCTAATAAGAAAAAATAGAAAAAAGAACGAACAAAGGTTTAAAAAAATAATGTCAATTTTCGTAAATATCAAAATCATTCATATACCTTGTTCCTAACGAATTTTAGTATATTTACCATTACAATTACAAATCAAGATTTTAACGAACGGCAACTTCATTAACGAACGATAAAACCATGCATGTTATCAGTTAAAAACGAACGGTTTCTTGAAGAGCCTGTTCGTTCCGTTAATTTTTCTAATCGTTAACGATCGAACGAATTCTAACATGCTCGGCCCTCACCACATTCTAAAAGTTGCATGATCCGTGCCGGTACAACCTGTACTGTATATGCATTCAGTCGTACTGTCCAGTCTGAAGTTGAGCTACTAGTGTGGAGTCGACCCAGCACGTTTTATGCAACAAATGTAACCTGGCAAGATCAACGTTTATCTCAACAGTTGATAATTTAATTACCAACTGAACTCTAAAACCGTTTATACCTTTTCTTTTAAAGCAATATACCCCTGAACTTAGGGATTAAAATGTCGACTCAATCGTTCTCTGCAATCTGGATCTCTGTGCTTTGTTTAGCGTTTTCTCAGACTTCACCCCCCCCCCCCTTATCCCGGTCATTTTAAACCGATCTCATATTTGAGACCACCCATTAGAATATGTAAAACAATGCATCCCCCCCTCCTACCTTAACCCCTCCCTCCCTCCGTCCCCCCCTTCTTGTAATTCAATCCGTTTTGTCAGTATCGCCGATCAGCTTCTGTAGTATTTCTGTTTATATTCATCCTTTATATTACATTAAACAATATAAAAGTATACAATTTAAAACTAATACTCTTTTCTCTGGATATCGCATTTTTTGATTGACTGGGTTTGTCAAAAAACAGGTACAATACAAGACTTTTAGCATTAATATAGTTTAGTAATTCAGAGATGGTTTTCAGAAATGGAGTTTCTTGGTCCCAGTCTAGCGTTTTTCGTTTTCTAAAAATGTGGTATAAAGACAGCAAGGCTTGAAAGATGTTCGCACATTGCTTTGAAACTAACAATGAGTTATTTTTCTCTAAAAAGAGAGAAAACTAGTTTGTCCAAACTAAATATAACTTCTGATGCACTATGCTATGATGAAACCTGAGCGAAGCAAACAATTCCTTTAAAGTATACCACTATAGTTTCAGTAGAAGTAAATATTTCCATTTACTGATAGCACCGATTGAAGGGTTCATATCTCTGATTGGTTAATGAGATTGATAGAAAGATGGATGTTACCGTCATATTATTTCTATTGGTTCAGAATAGACAACAAAACACATGACTGAACCCTGATTGGTTCAGGCGCTAATGGACTCGGCATACATATCCACGTAATTTAAATGTTACGATATACACCAGTGCTTTTTAAACCTTTATCTGAGTAACAGTGCGAAAGATATTCTCGTTTTTCTATCTTGAAAGGAGATTAATTCTGTCAATGTCTCTTCTGTCATTAGTCCACAAATCATTTTTTAATAGACAACCAAGGACACCCCCATCAAGGCATATTAGTTGTTGAATGAAGAATCACTTGAAACAAGCGGACAGTCCCTTTAACAAGTAATTATGCATTCTTGACAAAGTTTAGGAAGTAAATAAAGTAATTAATATATAATGACAACTCCCACCCCCTCCCCACCCGCCTTTAAAGTCCCGCCTTTCTTTGCGTTAAACCGATTTCACCCGTTATTGCTCCAGAGTCAGTTAACCAAGAAAACTATGAGGAAAAGGGATTGATTAGCTCCAAGGAACCGACGCCTGTCAATCTGCCCCCAGGAGTGGGTAAAGGGATTGATGACAGAAGGAACCGATGCTACTGGAATGACCCCTAGGATAGGTGTGAAGGGTTTGAGGTTGCACCATATATAATTTTATTATAGGGAGACAACATCTAAGAAATCTAATGTGTATTTTATGTTTTTAAAAGTAAAAAGTTTTACTAATAGCATGGCCATATGTTCATGTTCATTTAACTATTTAAAAATTCCTATTCATCAGTCACAGGGTTCCAACCAATAAACGTCAAAACGGCATGACAAAAGTACACTTATTTTATATAAACTCTCTATCACTGTAAACTTCGGTTTATTATAAGTACCGGCCGCCTTTTAATCAGCGAAAGTAAGCTGTATAGTACAAATAAATACAGACTATATACAAGGCAACACGGGACAGTTTCTCAAATGAATGATCCCCTTCTATAGAAATATATGTCACATATCATCTATGTGACATATCATCTATGTGACATATCTAACTTAATCTCTACGAATCACTCTCAGATTATAAATACTCCATGAAGGATGGATACATCTTTACGAATACCTCTCTAAGGTAATAAATACTCCGTGAAGGATGGATTCATCTCTACGAATCCCTCTCTAATGTTATAAATACTCCTTGAACGATGGATACATGTTTGTTAGGTCGGCATATTTGTCGTAAACGGTCGACATGGGGTTTAAGGGAAATAGATGAATAAATAAAAGAATGAATAGATGAATATATGAATACATGAATATATGAAGGGATGAATAGGTGAATAGATAAATAGATGAATAGATAAATATATGAATATATGAATATATGAATATATGAATATATGAATAGATGAATAGATGAATAGGTGAATAGATGAATAGATGAATAGATTAATATATGAATATATGAATATATGAATATATGAATAGATGAATAGATGAATAGATGAATAGGTGAATATATGAATATATGAATATATGAATATATGAATAGATGAATAGATGAATAGATGAATAGATGAATAGATGAATAGATGAATAGATGAATAGAAGAATAGATGAATATATGAATAGATGAATAGATGAATAGATGAATAGATGAAAGGATGAATAGATGAATAGATGAAAGGATGAATAGATGAATGGATGAATAGATGAAAGGATGAATAGATGAATAGATGAACAGATGAATAGACGAATATATGAATAGATGAATAGATGAATAGATGAATAGATAAATATATGAAGGGATGAATATATGAAAGAAAGGATGAACGAAGGGATCAAAGAAAGGATGAATGAAAGAGTGAATGAAATGATGATTATAAGGATGAATGAATGAATGAATTGTATATTGTATAATTAGGGTGTGTTAATGTATAGGTTTGATATCAAAATCTGGTATAAATGTAGCAGATGTTAAATCTGTTTTAATTTATTGGATAATTTGTACTTCTACCCACGCTACAGTGGACACATCCCACACAAATTGAGATTTTTTAGGGGTAAAACAGACTCTTTTTAGGGGTAAACCAGACTCTTTTTAGGGGTAAAACAGACTCTTTTTAGGGGTAAAACAGACTCTTTTTAGGGGTAAAACCGACTCGTTTTAGGGACTTTAGACTTAGAGTTAGTTTTTGATTTTTAAAGTACAAATTTTCATACAAGTTAAATATGTCTTAAATATGTAAAAAGAGCCATCTTTGGCTCTAAACAAACTTTATGACTTTACCGAACAACTTGGCTTAAATTCAATTCGAATCGAGAATTTTAAAATAGATGTAATTAATTTTTTT